TGTCAGGTTGTGTGTCTTTCTAGTATTCTCTTTTGCTCAACCCCGTGTGTATAGATGTTATATCTAAACTCTTTGGTGATCTGCCACGGGGGGTTTTTTTAGCAATCAGTTACAAGGTTTGGTTTTCCGCTTAGAGGTTGTTTGTGCACGTCTGTGGTCTCACAAAAGAAGTGTGCAGCTCTTCTTTGTGCACAAGCATGGATATTTCCTCTAATCAGCAACATCTATCCATTTATAGCTGATTAAATATGGAAGCTGAACACAGCTTCTGCAGCAATCTTTGTTAACATCAGTGAGAAGTAGTGGTTAGAGAAGAAAGAAGCATTGATTTTCTTCTTTTTCTTTTCCAAACCAAACTAAAGCTTTTTCTAGCTTGCTGCTGTATGTATCTGCAAGCTGTTCAGTCATCTGTGTGTAGCCAAGCAATCTTGACTCCTGCTGCATGGTATCCTTACAGTTCCAGCTGTTCAGAAACAGCTCAGAAAACAGTTTCTTTGATGCATACTATGCATGGTTTTCCAAAAGGCTCTGCAAAGAGTCCAAGAACGAATGGGCACAGAGGGATCTCTTCTTCCATATCCATAGTTGAGATCATGCCCAGCCCACTGTGGAGTCCCTGGGCAATACAGGGTGAAATCCAAGGCCCTTGATTTTCTTCTCTAGCTAAAGAGGCTTTGGACCTCTGGTAACAGCACACTGGTGTACTTTGGCTTCCACTGCAAAGATAAATATATAAATGGTATCAGTAACAGAATCTAGGTTGTAGCAGAACACAAAGGAATTTTTATATTCAGCTGTTATGAGGATCTAAGCCATTTAACAAATTGTTTAACTTCACACCATTCATGTTTACAGCCTCCATTGCCTCTGTTACTTGTGTATTGCTAATTCTTTCGTTGCTTTGTACGCTGCTCCGCAACTGTTCTGGGAACAGATGCAGAAACAAGTCTTGCTCCTGCCAAGCTTTCTAAAAACAGCTCATCCCAGGGTCTTCACTGTGCTGGCACTAGCTCTGCAGTGGCAGGGACAGGGATGGCAGGATCTGTTCAAGTGTGAGCTCCAGCCATTTGCTTTCTAGCAGTGGCATACAAACCAATCCATGTTGCTTTGGGAAAGTGAGAATACAACAGCCTCAACATATGTTTTGGTTTTTTCCCTAATGAAAAGCTTTTCCTCCCTGAGTTATTAGAAAAGTACTTCACAAATCCAGTAGTCTCTTGGTACGTATCTGACCAGATGAAAAAACCTGTCTTTTGTGGGGTTTGGTTTTTGGGTTTGGTTTGTGGTTTGTTTTGGTTTTGTTTGTTTTTCAGAAAAAGGCCCATGTGGATATTTTCTGGGGTGGGGTGGTTTTTTGTAATTTTTATTATATCCAGTGAATGTTAAATTTAATGCAAAAATGTTTTAAAAATCCATTTGTGAAATGTAAAAGCCAAGAACCACTGAAATTACAAGGTATTATTTTAATATCTGCAAGAAAAATATAATTAATTCCTTCTCTTCCACATCCAAAAATAGATTCTGTTCTTCGTTATTGTTGCCAATGCAATTGCTTACAAATCAATCTGATTTGAGGAGAAAATGGCTACCTTAAACTGAATCTAGATGCTGCCACCCATAGGCTTGATCCACACTCTGCTTTGATTAAATACTAGTTTAACTATCCTTTTTCTGAAACCTGTGCAAACTAAACCATATAACTCTCAGTTGGTATCTGCTGTATGAAGGATTTAGAAGAATGTCTATAATACTGCAGCTGCACCCACATAGAAAATTCATGATGAACTCAATCATTTTCTAAGGCATTTGAGCTAGGCACCAAAGTAATTTTTAAGCCAACCTTTGTGCCAAGACTGAAATCAGGTACTCACAAGGACCCAGGTATGGCAGCTGCTCTGCCTGCTCCATTGCTGTGACAATATTTTTGTTAAAAACCTTCCTCCCTCTAATTTTAGAAACTGGTTTAAAAAGCCCCAAAAGAAACAAGTAAGCAGAAAACAGGCAGTCGGTCTGGAGGGGATTGTCTAGGTTGATAACAATGTATTAACCTTTGTGGTTCTCATTAAGATTAATGAGGATAGTGGGAAGATAAATTCATTCCTGAAACTGTTGTAGTATTCTCAGCTCAGCTCTGTGCCTTGAATCAGTGAAAATATGCCATAAGGGCTCATTTCCTTATATCAAGGAATTCGAATGGGAAAGTGAGAGAGGGCTGGCCTGGCCTCTCAGGGGGAGCTCCATCCACTGATGTTCTACACAGGCTTTAGAGGTTATAGATCCTGCCTGTGTGAAGAGGAGGGATTTATTCATGTCATTAATAGTTGTGGGTTCTGTTAGCTCACCAATAAAGGTCTGCAGTATAAATACTGGTACAGCAGTAGAATGCTGTGCAGGTGCAGTTTGTGGCATCCTGTGGTGTGTGAAGTACAGAGTTGGGTTGCTCTCCCTTGATTGTCTTCATAGCAAAATAGGAGTTCGGTAACAGATTGTTCTGGGCTCTCTCCCTGGAAAATGTCTTTGTTTCAAGAATGTGTTAATCTAGGAAATAATTACTCCTGCTTTTCTTGTTGCCTGTTAGCCAACTATGCGTGCCTAAGACGTAGCTGAAATAAATTAAGAGACATAAGCTGAAGATTTTGTGGTTGTGTGACCTGAGGGCAGGAACGTGCATCTGATCACTTGTTCCTTTTTATTCTGTAATTTGTGTTTGGGAATTGTAGTAGTGAAGGAATTTATCCTTTTATTTCTGGCTGGGGGAGAAATACCCGTTGGTTTTCTATGGAAGGTGTAAAAAGAGTGTTTATACTTGGTAGGAGCAGTTTTAGCCAGAGCCTGTGCTTTTTGTAAGCCCCTCCCTGAAGCTTTTAGAAAGAAAGGTATTTGCAGGATATTCTTGTCCAACTTGGCTTACCTGCTTTCCTTCCACCTGACAGACAAGCAGTGTATCTGTCGCTATGATTCAGACTATAGCTCAGTCAAATGCCTCCCCTGCTGCTACCATAAAAGGCAAGACCCAGCTATGTAGTGGAGCTGATACCCCCTGTATGTCTCCTGTAAATTCCTAGCCCACCAGGCTTTCCTTGTCTTTGCCAGCTTTCCTCTGCTTTCCCCCGGCAGGAAATGCATGCTGCGGGGCTGGCTGACTGGCTGACCAGTGGCTCCAGCAGGCTCAGCTGGAGGAGAGGAGCTCGCTTACCACATCCCACTGGTCAACAGTGAGGCTCACCCGCACTCCTTTGTAGTGTTCAGCTCCCTAATATCACAATCAGCAGAAAGATGGAGTCCCCACGGAGATTGCATCGATTTTGGTTGAATCCATCTTAAGCTTGAGGACTGACCAGAAGGGACTGAGAAGGGTTGTTATGCTGAATAAAAGAACAGCTGCATTGGTTTTGGACTCAGGCCAAAACCAATGTGGTTGTGTCTTAACCTTGCTGATGTAGCAAAACCTGAGGTACCCCCACTGAGGCCTGGCACTCGCTCTAGCTCATGGTACATGTTTCAGGTTCCCTCTCGGCAGCTTCTCAGGTATGAGACTTGGCAATCCAGGACTTCACCTCGTTGTCTTGTCTTTAGCCCCAATACAAATGTCACTCTGAAGGAACTTGTTTTCAGTGGACTTCTCCAGTTCAGCTATCATATAATTTTCCTGGTCCATATTACAGAATCACAGAATGGCAAGGGTTAGAAGGGACCTCGGGAGATCATCTAGTCCAACCCCCCTGCTAAAGCAGGTTCTCCTAGAGCATGTTACACAGGACTTCGTCCAGGCAGGCTTTGAATATTTCCAGAGAAGGAGACTCCACAACCTCTCTGGGCAGCCTGTTCCAGTGTTCCATCACCCTCAGAGTAAAGAAGTTTTTCCTCATATTCGACTGAAACCTCTTATGTTTCAGTTTGTGCCCATTGCCCCTTGTCCTGTTGCTGGACACCACTGCAAAGAGTCTGGCTCCATCCTCGTGACTTACGTCACTGAGCTATTACTTTCGCAGTTGTATCTGTAGCATGCAAATAGCTTAATCAGCTAATGGTGTTAAGAGTGCTGAGAGCAAATTCTCAACTTCTTAGTGAATCAGAAAACAGCTTGGTAAATGTGCATTTAATAGTAGGATGTTCTGAAAGGGACGCAATGGCCAAGTGCCCAAGATGAAAGTTAGAGGAAATACTTATGAGTGGGAAAAGTATTGTAGATCTTGTTTCTACCTCCATTGGATACTCTTACCTCAAATGCTGAAGCTTCTTGGTAGAAGGAAGGAGGAGAGAGTCCTCTGCCTTGCTTGGCTGCTGCATTTGGCAGCTAACACGAGGAGAGACAATGAACTCATGGCTTAGTTGCCCAATGAAAGCGGGTATTCAGGCTCTTGGAAATTCTAGCTGCCTCTTTCTCAGTAAATTCCAGGATCTGCTACTTCTGTGACATTCTCATCAACTGAGAAATACAAGTTTAAAAAAAAAAAAAAAAAAAGAAACCTTTCTGGTCAAAATTACTTAAAAATATATAACTGGAATTTGGAATACCACTCAGAAACTCTGGCCAGGAGATTTACTTCAAAATTAGTGTTACTCTGAGAAGTTAGTATAGCAACGGGTATGATGTCTAAAGGGCAACTTAAAAAATTAATATAGTAATATTACTACTAATTAATCAGGATTGGTATTTGTCTGGTACTTGACAGTACTTTCTCTGCCGGTGCAAACAAAAATGTGGAGTTTCTGGGCTCAATGTAAGCACAGTGGCATTGTTGACCTGGGTTCTATTTCAACTGCAACTATGCCTCTTCTTTAAAAGAAGAAAAAGGAGAAGTATATTGATTTCTTCTACATAAAGAGTTGAATTCCAGAAGTGTTGTATATTAAAGGGATTAAATGTGTTTCCTGTGTTTTTGCATGTACAGCATAGAAAACAGAGGGAGAAGAAAAATTATCTTTACTTAGTAAAACCTCCTAATTATTTACAGTGTAACAGACAATTGACTAAATAGCTTTGTTTCTCTCTTGCAGCCTCCTCCTCAGATATATGATAAACAGTTGGATGAAAGGGAACATACAATTGAGGAATGGAAAGGTAATCACAGTTTAGAATTATGTGGTAAAAAGGCCACATCCCACTGTAAAACTAGAAGAATTCCTTTGACTTGAAGGATTGACACCAGCCCTACGAACTGGTGCTTTGGTAGTGAAAATACAAGTAATGTTCTGAGGACTGTCATTATCCACATGGGTTAATGTTAACACGGGAGGTGCAGATTCCAGCACCAGTGAAGATTCACTGAAATCTAAGGTTACTGTCTGGAGAACAGAATACTGTTCAGTAGGATGATGCATCAGAATTTTACCTACAGTAAAAAGCACTGTGTTACTTTGCTGCTTCATTTCTAGATAGTGCAGAACTAAACAATTCATGTGTTCTAGTTTAACCCTATTTGTCTCAACTCTGCTCCAAAAAGAGGTGATAGGAGAGGAGGGGAATGGAAGAGAGAGGTCTTAGGTGAGTAGAACTGTCAGACTGGGGAAGGCAAGGCAGGGCAGACCTGGAGAGCTCATGGACAGGCTGCAACACTGTGCTTCGTGATAGTTGTTTTGTTCTTGATCACTGGCAGGGGTTCCTCTTTGTAACTGTTGCAATTCTCTCTTCCAGAGCTCATCTACAAAGAAGTAATGAATTCTGAAGAAAAGACTAAAAATGGTGTAGTAAAAGGACAGCCTTCTCCTTCAGGTACTCAGCCCCATTGAATAACTTTGATGTGTTTTCTGTATTGACAAAGAGAATGGTGGTAGCTGAAACACTCTGACTACACTTGCAGTTATGTAGACCAATTATGTAGTTTTTACGAAATCCAGTGCTTCTAATGGGTTGACCTTGATTAATTGTGCTCCAGTGTCATGTTAATACTTAAAAACTGCTCTGCTTGCTATTTGGGATATAGTTGTCCTGGTATTTTCTATGGAAAGATTTGTGGTTGCAGATTATATTCGTGTGGGTGAGGACACTTATCTCGCACCATCATAACTATACTGCTTATGGATGGACAACTGAGCTAATACTCTGCTAGTTGATATAAGCAAAATTGGTGATGTTTGTCTCCATCTGTTGGACATGCAACACTGCACACCCCCCCACGTAAGCATCTGGTACCTCCTCTGGCAGTTTATAATTTCAGAAGTCTGATAGCATTAGAACAGCTTGCTGACAAGCTTGGTTGACACTTCGATAAGAAAGGAAAGTTGTCTTCAAACACAGATTCTTGAAGTCCTGTCACAAAAAAATCACAACTAAATTTTATCTGAGGAAAATTCACATCAGCAGTCTTTTCACAGAAATGCAAACTATGACTGCCAGTACCCAGAAATGCAAATTTGTGAAGGTATGCTTTCACTGGCAGACCTGAAGTGCCCAGATCCTGAGCACAGCATTCCAGTAGTGTTTATGGGTAAAATTATCTTCTGCAGAGCCTTTCCTCAAGATAAAATCATTTAATTTAGTCTTCTCTGCATATTTTCAGAGGGTGGTTTGTTTTGGTTTTTTTTTTTGCGTTCTCATTTTTCACTTGCTGATGAGCTAACAATGTTAGAACAAGAATGCATCATTAGTAGATGACAGGACAAGGGGAAACATGGCAACAATGGAGAAGTTAAGAGAGTGCTGGATTGTAATACTAGAGTTCTGGCACTGCACCTGGATTTTGACATCGATGAAGTAAGATATTGAAAACAGTCCATTGTGTTCTTGCTGAGTAGCAAACAAAGTATAGGGCTTGTAGATTTAATTTACCAAACTTCTGTACTATCACTGAAGAGAAATCTGGGGCCCTGACAAGTATCTGATAAATCCTCATTCTTAAATCACTCTCCCCTACAGAATGGCGGTTGCAGTCTGATTTATGATCAAGAAACATTGTCCATTGTCGTTACTGGTGTCAGGAATTAACTACCCAGGGATTTCTTTATGTATTCCATGTTCTGTTTTTCCAATGTGGAAGGTTTTTATTGTTTATGTAGAATGTTTCTGAACATACAAAATTGCCATATCTGATCTGTCTTTCTTTTGCTTTTCCCCTTTGATTGTTTTTGGATTGGTAGGGACCAACAAGTATAGCAACTATTTTAAAATTGCTCTGGGATGAGGCTGTTTTATGAAACAGTAGATTTCCTGTTTTTCATAACTATGTGTGCCTGACAATTTTTTTTTTCAACTGAATGAAATACTGAAAGAATGAAATAAAACGAGTCACCAGTTCTGAGCATAGGGGAAATGAGGGAGACTCTGTGCACACATGGCTCATTGGTCGGTGTTCTTGGCAAGAATTCAGAAGATTAGGAGTTGGAACTCTATCAATAATTATAGCAAGCAAGCTGGAGATGAGTTTCCATGATTACTTGATCAGAGCTTTTGGGGAGACAGCTGAAGTTGGCACCACCATTGATAGCACAGGTTACTTAGAGTGCTTGTGTGTCAGGGTGTCAGTCACTTAGTGCTTCCTCTTGTCCTGTGAAGAATTAGTTAATATAACACACAAGCTTGAAATGTGGTGCTTGGGGGGAGTCTCAAAGTGCCCCTTTGTCCAATGAACAAAAGCATCTGTGTCTAGAACTGTTCCCAACAGATATTTCTGCTGCCTCTTCCAAAAAACCTCTGTAGGCTACCTTGTTTATTTTGAAAAAGCTTTTTGTATTGTCTTGCCTAAATCTTTTTTGCTGCAGTTTAACTCTGTTATTTCTTCTCCTGTCTACAGAGAACACGGAGAACAGTTTCCTCCATCTTTCCTTCTGGCAGCTTTTAGCTCACGTAAATTCCGTTATCACATCCCTAATCAGTCTTCTTTCCTTTGAACTTTACTACCTGCATCTCTCAATCTTTCAAACTTACTGCTTTTCTCTACACTTTATCTAGTTGACTTCTGTCTTTCATAGGTCATTGTGTCCAAACCTATCTGCTTAGGGCACTAGTAGTGCTGAACTGAGTGGAGGATTTGCATGTAGGTATGTATGTATGTGTTACATAAACATGTAAGCATCATGTGCAAACAACATATGCATGTCCACATGCACACATAAACATTGAATTTAATCTTAGATGGTAGGGGTTTTTTATTATTATTCTTTCTATGTCACAGAATTGCTAAATGGTTCTGGTTTATTTATCATAGAATCATAAAACGTTTTGGGTTGGAAGGGACCCCTAGAGGTCATCTAGTCCAACCCCCCTGCAGGAGCAGGGACACCGCTAACTAGATCAGGTTCCTCAGAGCCCCGTCCAACCTGGCCTTGAATGCTTCCAGGGATGGGGCCTCCACTACCTCTCTGGGCAACCTGTTCCAGTGTTT